GGCATGCTGTCATCTATCCACAGTGCTATGATCCCACACCCACTTTTGGTTTTGAGCGCAAACAAAATAGACATGAGTTAGAGAATTTAGCATGAATTATACCTTATGCTAAAAGAAACAGTGGCTCAAAGTCTATTTGTCTGCAACAGAGAAAGTGAGATTACAGCCATCTGCTCCAGAAAAAAAGTGTGTTTCAGAACCTCTGACAATCCCTCCTTTGTCAAAAAGTCCTCGTCAAAAGCCCTGAGATCTGTTTTACCTCATTTCCACAGTCTCTTGGATTTCCAAGATGAAGTTCAGGTAGTCAGGGCTACTTTAATGATAGTCCATTATTGCTAAGGATAGTTTTGTCTGTCAGGCTTACTGCAAACGACCAGACAGATTGCCACATACATTCCAATTTTCCTGGGTGTTGTTCTGAGAGCTATAGTCAGGGCTACACCCAGACCACAGTCTGGTTACCTCCACACGCCAAGGCTCTTAGGCGGTACAAGCAATCTACCCCCAGAATAGGAATGCATATATATTAAAAAAAAGAGTATTTGGCAAATGGGGATGGAAGGTGAGAAGGTTGTTAAGGAAAAAGATAAAAGCTTTTTCATCTTGCTGCATAAATTTCAACATCCTATGTTTCCCAGTTTAAAGAATCTTGTCCTCCTGGCTGCTGTTAAGGTGGAGAAAAAAAAGAGTATTTGGCAAATGGGGATGGAAGGTGAGAAGGTTGTTAAGGAAAAAGATAAAAGCTTTTTCATCTTGCTGCATAAATTTCAACATCCTATGTTTCCCAGTTTAAAGAATCTTGTCCTCCTGGCTGCTGTTAAGGTGGAGTTACTATTTATTATCACTAGATAATAAATAATCATCAGCAACATCAATCTTGCAGATTCCAGAGCCAGTTTTCTTCAATGATCCCATGTAGCCCTACGGTTCACAATGTCCCCTGCTTACATGTTACTTGCAAGACAGTCTTTTCCAGTCACTGTGATACAGAGAGAGAAGCAGAGGTATAAACTATCATACTTGGAACAGTATACAAGGCAAAGCATATTATGATAAAGTGGCACAGTTACAGTGAAACTGAAATTTCTTGCAACCTGTCAATTATTATATAACAAGCTTCTCCAGAGCACATGGCAAACTTTAAGCACCACCTAGACTAGAGTTTAACCTTTCATTTTAACCTTATAGATATATAGATATTGATAAACATATATATATACATACACATATATATATATGTATAATGGCTTTAGCAGGTACATTCAAAGCCCAGCAATCTCATCTGAAAGATTTTTCCAAATGGATCACAATGAACTGCAGTGCTCATTGACTGATGAGCCTCTTCCTTCAGGCACTGCAGCACACATTACCATAACCTCTGTGAATCATCCATCTGCATCAGAAACATAACCATTCAGCAGCTTGTAAAGAAGCCAAGCCACCCTCTGGCATTTATGAAACACCAGACTGCTGAGTAGCAGGTAGAGGTGATGCTTAGTTCAGAAGAGCAGCGTTGCAAACTTTCCTTACAAACCCTGATTTTTCAGCTCTGTCTGGGAAGCTGCTGCGGTCAGTCATCTAAAAGTGACGGTAATGATCTCCTAGAAATATATACGTACATACCCTATGCTATGAAACCCAAAGGATATTGTAGTCCTCACCTACTCCTTTAATTTGTGAGTCAGCTGAGTGAGATTTGTCTCCAGTGTTCACTGCATGCCTGCAAACAACCACAAGGGTCCAGGATGTACAGCCAGCAGGCAGCTTTGATTAAAACATATGAGGAAGGGGAGCATGGGCACCCTCAGCAACATCTGCATTGACTGCAGATTTTGTATTTCTATGCATATGTTGTAGTTGAAACAAATATATTTTTAACCAACATGTTCCAATATTATTTCTTTTCAGCTATTGATCTCATAAATAATTTGTTGCAAGTGAAAATGAGAAAGCGCTACAGTGTGGACAAAACATTAAGCCATCCATGGTTACAGGTATTGCTACAAATTCCATGTTTTTTTCTTCTTTATTTAGGCTCAAAACATATATAAAACATCTATTTGCCTTTAAGTACAGACTTAACCTCATCCTCCTTTACCAATTTACCTGTAAGTTCTGATTAACTTCTTAAGTACCAGATTCCAATACTAATCTCTTCTTTTCAAAATACCCTAGAAAAATGTTACATCTCATTAGTTTATTGAGAATATATGTCCTCATATTAAAAAAAAAAGGCTTTGCAGTCAGTTGACTTATATGTTCTGACTGTCTGAATTCTTCTCTGATTTGCTTCTTATCACAACTAATCAAGGGGCTACCACTTCATAATCATAGTCACTAGTAGTTCCTACTAGTGAAGTGGTATCTTTCCAGGAAGAAAGAGAGAGCAGGCTGTGGGGTTGGTATTAAGGGATAGCTCAGTGCGTCCATTTTTAGTCCTAAACTTAAAGAATATTTAAGTTTCCATCTCAGCATTTTCATCACTGACTCTTCTTACATTCTTATAGTTAAGACATAAGCTTCAACACTCATCCTTCCTGCACACACTCCACCACGGTGTCTAAATACCTCCCAAAGTAATCTTTCTTTCCAGGTGCCCAACACCAACAGTTATTCTTGGCAATTTTCTCCTACTCAAATGAAAAATTATAAAAAAAAAATAGTAGTTATGGACTGTGACATTATGTGTTTTTTTTTTAAACATGTCTGTAGGATAACCAAAGCCAGTGATGACTGAATGCAGTGATGACTGCATTTTCTATCTGTTGAAAAGACATATTTACACTAAATTTTAAGCTAAACTTATAGTTTATTTCTCTCCTTTTAGCAATTATTTTCAGGGGAGCATTTGTAGATGTCCTTTTAGAAGAAATGGAGTAGAAAACAGCCCCAGGGATGTTTCTACTGGGGTTTCTGCTTGCTTTCTTATTCCCATTTTTTTCTGACTGTCTAGTCTTTCCTCATCAAATGTTTGTTCTCTCACCCCTGGCAACCAGAATATACTTTTTAAGCCAGTGGGGAGCGGAGAGGTGAGCTGGGCTAAGGCTGCAGTGTGGAGGCTGGGTTGGAGGTCTCACAGCTGAGCAAGGATAGCAGTGGAGCAGGGTAGTGCGAGGCAGGGATGATTTCTGGCAGGATCACTGTGCAGGTAGTGGACCTGCAGATGTGAGATGGCAAGAATGAAGATTGCTATGCATTTAAAGTGTGCAGATGTTCTGGTGCTCGGGCCAGGTGACCAGCATTTTTCTTCAGTTCACAAATGAGAAGGTGGAAGAGCAAAAAGGAAATGCAATACAGGGCTGTGAGTAGAGGCTGGGCTGGATGGGGCTGGGCCTGGCTTTATCAGAACTATGATTTCATCATTATTTGGGGCGAAAACAGGTAGGGAAGCTTATTATACTTGAGATCTACCTCAGACAGATCAGAAGCTGCAAGGCATTACAGGCTAAACCGCATGGGAACAAGCACGATTTCCACCTTTACTGATGAGTGTCCCAACAGAAATCCAAAGCAGCTTTGATGTGTAGCTGTATGAGCACACCAGTACTTGCTAAAAGATGAAAAAGAAGATTTTTGTTATTCTAGCCCAAGCTGAATTCATATCTAGCACCATCATATGAAGATGGAGCAACTGGCTTGACTGTCTGATATAGATTACTGGAACATAAATGTATGATTTCAAGAAAGAAGTTTCTTTTTATTCTGGCTAGCATGAGACCATTTTTTTTAATGACTTATGCCTCATTTAGATGTCATAAAAATCCACAGACTACCAATACATTCTACAAAACAACCTATAACATCTCCGTATTATAGTTAATGACAGTTCAACAAAATTAATTTATCAATCTTCTAAAGATAAAATCTGTCTCTCTGAGCAAATTTTGGAGCACTGGAAAAGCATGACATTAATATTATCAGCCAAGCTGATAGCACTTTTCAGATAACTGGGAGTAGAAGTGCATGTCATTTATTTTAGAAATGTTAAAACTAATGATGTTATTTTATTTCAGGACTATCAAACCTGGTTAGATTTAAGGGAACTTGAATGTAAAATAGGGGAACGTTACATCACCCATGAAAGCGATGATTCCCGATGGGAGCAGTATTCAGGAGAACATGGATTGCAGTACCCAGCACACCTTATCAATCCAAGTGCTAACCATAATGAAAACACCACACTAGAGGAAACTGAAATGAAAGCCCTCAGTGAGCGTGTCAGCATCCTTTAAGTTGCATCCCCTATAATCTGTCAAAACACTGTGGAATTAATAAATACATACGGTCAGGTTTAACGTTTGCCTTGCAGAACTGCCATTATTTTCTGTCAGATGGGAACAAAGCTGTTATGCTGTTACACTGTTGATGTATCTGAGTTGCCAAGACAAATCAACAGAAACATTTTTGTGTGACCAACTGTGTTGTATTTACAAAAGTTCCCAGAAACACTAAACTTGTTATTGTGAATGATTCATGTTGTATTTAATGCATTAAAACCTGTCTCCACTGTGCCTTTGCAAACTAGTGTTTTTCTTACTTGAGCCTCATTTTGGTAAGAGAAAACTTTCCCATGAAGACCTGGGGGTTTTTTGTTTGTTGGGGTTGTTTAGTTTTTTTTTGTTGGTGGTGTTTTTTTTGATGCATCATTAGTATTGTAATTGTAAGCAAACTCTTGAAGAGTAGATTATTACTGCTGTTCTGTGAACAACTTCTACCATTTGGATAAAAGCTTTATTTAGTGTGGGGAAAAAAAAGAAAAATACAAAAACAAAGCATAAAATAAATTGTACAGCACTGTACAGTTTTAAATCAGATAACCTGTGTGTATGTGATTTTATGTATGGCTATATACACTTACATACACATGGACATACACAGCACAACTTGCTCTTAAGCCTAAATGCCTTAGTAATGTAAACTGCAGCATGTCAGTTGTATTTCTCTTTTTCTTAAAACTTCTCCTATAATATGAATATTCTCTAATATGTACATTCAGAAATAAATAACATGTTGCCTTTGTGTATGTTTTCAGTAATAAAAGTCTTGTTAAAATAGATTCATTTGGTCAATCTTTCTTTTTAAAATATTCCTAGAATGGGATCAGAAGTACCTGGAGAGAGTTCATCATCAGGAAGTCTGTGTGGAGGTAGGTAGGAAAACGTTATCAGCTAACATGTACCTGCAAAGCACATTTTGGAAGAACCCCCTTGGACTCATTTTGTATCATAAGTTTGATCAGATGTGAAACACATTTCGGGGTGAAGTGGGATTGATTTTGCACCAGTAAAATTATTAGGAACTTTGATTTTAGTGAAATGTGCCAATTTGCTTTTCTGAGTCCTATTGAACCAACAAGGTAATATGGCTTCCTCTCCATCTTCCCCTGAAAACTTTTAAGATTAATTGCCATTTCTAATAATTAGTAGGTGTCCCAGCTCTAACCCTTTTAGCTTTAACTATGAGAGAGATTCAGGCTGCAATTCAAATCAGGTGCCACAATAACTCACTGACAAGGTGAGGATGACTCTACATGACTAAGTATCTTTGAAATACCAGCTGATAATCAGGTATGGAAGAGAAAGGTGTAGACAAGAGAGATAAGAGGAAAAAAGAAAAAAAAAAGCCAGATCGTAGTGATGCAGAGTTAATATTAGAGCTAAAAAATAATACTATAAACTTCTACTAATCAAATCTTGGCTTTATGTTAGAATCTGTACATAACATTTCTTCAGATAAATCCATACTTTAGTCCAAGAAGAGCTTTGTCCATAAGGACCTTTATGCCAGATATATAACATAACCAAAGCCAGGAGAATTTTTCCTACATTCTTTGGATCTCTAGTGCATGGATAAAATGTACTATAGATGAAACGAAGAAATAGCACCTCTATTCAAGCAGGAATTACATATCATAGAAAATTAAAAGTCTTGTGAAAAATGCTTATAGATCTCTGCCTCCTCACTCCCTCTTTTCCCCTACTCCTATTTTCAGGAAAGGAGGATACTGCCTTAGCTCAAAAACCCTTTTTGCACTTCAACAGGACCCTCAAAGAAGCTCTCTGAAAACACTGGCCTTGTAATGTGCTTTGAAACAAGTCTGACACAACAGAGTTCAAGCACACTGAATTTTCTGCCATGCTGTAATGCTTCCTTACAGCACTAAATTTTTGGTCACTATATACAGAGAGAGAGACATAAATATATCTATATATTTTCCTCTGATGCTACCCTGGACCCCTATTTTCTGTCAATGAGGGTGTGGAGAGGCAAAATATCAACTTACAGGAACCATACAGAATGGAAGCTATTCCTTAAACATCCAGCCCAAGATCAATCTAATCCCAGTTCTGCTTTCTAAGACTGCCTGCATGTTCCTCATCATTTCGTTCACTCTTCCTTTCCAGCAACTAGTAGTTTTGCCTGTGTAGGGCATATGCTTTCCATTTTACTGAAGAGGAAGGAGAAGGAAAAAAATTAAAAGAAAAAAACTTAGGAAGACAGAGCCCTGGCTTACAAGTCCAGCTCTTTAGCTTTCTACACTAAAATCTGCACAGTTATTCCTCAATAGAAGCAAAATCTCTAACAAGTGGAAGAAAACCTGTTGGTGCAGGTTTGCTCATGCAGATTTGTGGTCTTTCCTGGTTTAATCACCAACTGACCTCAACCCTAACCACTCACTTCCCCTTTGAGATAATTTTGGAAGGTAATTTTGGAAGTTTGTGGCTTTGCAACATTATGCAGCTGGCAGAAATGGCCAGCTGTGCACTTCCGCATGGCATGATGCACAACCACCTCCCTGCCGGACTTGTATCCGTACACCAGGTGAGACTGTCCTGCAGAGCTGTCAGAGTCCACAGCCAGCAAGGAGGCCTCTCACCAGCCTGATCAATGCCATTTCTTGGACAGGCCTTAAAACACCACAGGTATAAATGTGGCACACGACAACACAGAATCATAGAATCATAGAATGTTTTAGGTTGGAAGGGACCTCTAGAGGTCATCTAGTCCAACCCCCCTGCACACGCAGGGTCACCTAGAGCACGTGGCACAGGACTGCGTCCAAGTGGGTTTTGAAGATCTCCAGAGAAGGAGACTCTGCAACCTATAGAGGAATATTTTGGTTCTATTTCAGTCTGTCTTCTGTATAATGAGGTGTGTTGTTATTAATTTGGTACCAAACATCTGTAGTTGATTCACCTCGATCTGTTAACCACTGTGAAAAAATTACCCAGAAAATGACAAAATAGCCTCCTAGCCAGAACCAAAATAACCTGTTTAAATTAAACCAACATATAGATCCTGATTTTGAAATATCAGGCATAATTGTCCATTGCTTTTTTCTACTCAGCCACACCCAGCTGTAAAATAAACTTAAAAATAGACTTAGACTGATGATCAAATTTCTGTCAGTTAAAGCTATATGTGTGTATGTTTAAAAGCATGCCTATTAAAGCCAAGGATTCATGAGTATGATAATGCTTATGATAATGATTATATAGTGTTCTTTAAAAACTGTGGGAGTCAAGGCACATTAACTAACTTTTAGAAAAGGAAGTAGAGGAAAAATTATCAGACTTGTATAGACTTTGGTCAACTGCTGGTATCACAAAATTGACTTATTTTGTTGTCTCATTATTCTGAGATGAGGAGTAACAGACCTCTGCTCTTAGGAAGATCAGTTTGAGTGACTCAGGATATTTTATGGCTTATTTCTAGTTGCAGATAACAGAGCAGCCCCTGAGCAGAGTTAGTCTTGAACAACACACATTCTCCAAAATGTGGAGCAAAGTACTGATGCTCTGCTCTCAAGCACGGACATTAGTCAGGAGATTAAAACAGAACACAAACTATTTGCAGCTTGAAACAGCTTCCCTAAGGTTTGGGTGACAAAACTAAAAACAACCCAACTTCCCATAGACTTACGCACTTATCATCACCTGCTGATCTCTGCCATAACAGTGCTGAGCATACACAGGAGTTTGCAAACTACAGTCTGTATGGCTAAGTATATATTTTGTCTCATGTAGCATTAATGATAAAATATTTACCAGTAGAGCAAAACCAAGAACATAAATAAATTCTCCTTCTCAGACACTTTCAGACTAGCTACTAAGCATGATTTCAAAGGAACTCTTGCTTTATTAGTAGGGGCATATGATGCTTTTCCCCCC